GCTGCTGCATCTTCCGCCTCGAGCTTGTCGGCAATCTTGTTCCGCTTCCTCGTCGGCTTTAGTTATATTTTTATTATTTCAATTTTCAATTTTCAATTTTCAATTTACGATTTTTAAGTTATTGGCGAAAATCTGCGTCACGCTAGGTGATTACGGCATATCGGCTGGCGGGCCACCAGCGGCGCTCCTCTGGCCCCAAGAGGGCAGGAGCTGGGCGCTCTGCTCGACGAACTGCTTTGCGTCTTCATGTGCTCTTCCTGTGCACGAAGCCCACCTGGAGCGCGCAGTGGTCGCTGAACTTCCAGAGCGGCTGGTCGAGGTCGCTCTCGGAGAAGGCGAACCCGTGGTCGTCGGCCATCTTCGACTGCCGCAGCTCCCGTCCGAAGTGACCGCGCACCTCACGAAGTGGGGTGGCCTTGTCCAGCAGCACACGGCGATGCTCGTTGGAGGCGTACCCGTGGCTGATCATGAAGACGTGGACACCGTGTTCGCACTCGGCCTCTTCCTTGGCGGCCCGCCCCGCGCGAAGGCTGTAGGTCGGGGAAGCTCGGAAGAGGGTGCAACTTGGAAACCTTGGACACGACCTTGGTTTTGACCGATCGGTCAAAATCAAATGATTGATTATTATTATTATTATTATTATTAAACTATAATAATAATCAAAACTTGGACACGCCTACGTACTGAGGAGACGTCAATAAAGCCATCGGCCCTGGGGGAGCAAGAAGCTATGGTCAGCAGAACTGCAACAAGAACGAGAGACGCACGAATCATTTTCATCTCCGTCATGGCAGGCAGTTCCGGAGCAAAACGTTAGAAAAATAAAAAAAACGCCTTCCGGCGCTGGCCCAATAATTGATTTATTATAGACTTTTCTTTTTGTGTTCGAAATAACAAATTTATATTCAGGTATTTTCATTGTTTTAAAAACAAATTCTGACGATAAAAGTATTTTTTACTGCCAAGCAGTACACACGGTGATGGAGCCCACCGGTGGGGTGGTGAAGCTAAACATTGGTGGCTACAAGTACATAACCACCACAAGTACCCTCATCAAGGA